AGAACTCTAATGTAGCAAAGGAATCATATTTTTAAACAAAAGAATATTATAATATAATATAAGCTCTACTTCTGTATGGAGCACTGTCTTCTTAAAAATAAAAACAAAAATACTAAGGAACTCCAGATTATGCACCCAATGTGTTTCTTTTCTATTTTCTGCATACCTGCACACTTATACATTATATATATATATATATATATATATATATATATATATATATATATATATATATATATATATATATATATATATATATATATATATGTCATGTAAAATTGCTTTTTTTCATTATGAGCTTTTAAACTTATTGCTCTACCTGTTTATATATCAATCAATTAAACATCTTCCATTTCTTTTGTTTTTTTATAGGATATGACAGAAACTGGAATATGCAAGGTTTGTTATTTGGACCTAAATTTTATTTATTTTGGGAGATTTTAGAAAATTCCTAATGTAAATGAAAAAAGAAACACCATAGGAAGACTAATAGAGCAGTTCAGTTATTTATTGAAATTGATTTTCAGAAAATAAGCAATGAAATCATCGGAAAAGAGAAGAAGCTTGAGCTGCTATATAATATCTAATCTGTTATATAATTGAGAATTTTGGACAATCTTCTCACAGAGGGTGAAGAGACTTGAAACAACATGTACAGTCCTACTGATGAATGCTAAGAATCCCATTGACAGCAAACAAGGAAGTTTCAATGGAAAATTGGAATTACAAGGAAACTTAAACAGTAAAGGGATTGTTGTAATCTCTAGGAAACATAAAGCAAAAGGTCTTGGTGAATCTGACACTCTTAAGAAATATAGAGAAAAGAGGGTCTGGAGAATTGGTTAATTTTGAAGAGATTTTCTTGGAAAATAATACATTTTTTTTTAAGTTGACTTTATAGAATAAATATATTTGCATGAAGAAGTCTGTTTTGTGGGTAAATAGTGTTTGTTGAGTATTTATTAATATTTTTTTTTGTATTTCTCTTATTTTTCTTGTATGACATTATGAATGTATGTGTGTACCTGTTTTTATGGAAGATATTTTAATGTGTCTTTTCCAAGCAAATGTGAGTAATCAAAGCTCTTCACAACTTTCTGACTTTCATAGATCAAAGTAATGTGTTTCATTACTATCACTCCCAAGAGTAACAACTCAAATGAATATCACTTGTAATTTGAAGAGAAAGTAATGACATAATCAAGAGTCTGACATTCCACACTACCTCAAACAAAAGGCAAGGAAAGAAACCCCCATTGATGCTGGCAAATGCAATAACAGTTAATAAAAATGAAATTTGTTTCCCCCCCAAATTGTTCTAATGGAAAAATTTTACAAATTTCGACCAAAATAAGCATAAGGGAACAGCTAATATTACCATTGAACATAGAATAGGGTGTGTGAAAGTTAGTTTTGGCCAACACTGGAGACTGCTTGAAAACCAAAGCATCAACCTGAAAACTTGATTCATGTCCTTAAATAGACCTGTCAGACCAAGGCTTTCATATGGATGTCATGCATGGAGCCAGACCTGTCCTGAAATGTCTAAACTCTCAGCTTTAAACAACCACTTCCTAAGATGAATGGTTAAAAAAGACTTTGAATAAATGAAGCCTGAGGCTCTTGGCAATGATTGTCCTTCTTTGATCATTGTAGATTAGCATGATAGAATCACAAACAAGGACTTGTACCAAATAACAGAAACCACACAACTTGATGACTACCAACAGCAGTAACAACTAAAATGGATAGCACTTGTAACTTGAAGAGAAAATAATGACATAATAAAAGATGTTGATATTCAACACTAATTCAAATAAAAGGTTAAGAAGGAACTCCACTCCATCAATACTAGGAAGAAGGATAACAACTACTGGATTTGAAAAAAAACTTATTTTTCCTGAAAAATAGTTTTATGACAAAGATTTTATAAATTACAACTAAAAGCAGAACTGGCTGCTCAGTCAATGAATCCCAAATGCTTCTTTGTAGGGAAATGGCTAATATCAAAATTACCATTAGAGATAAGAACAGATACTGCACTTGATCCGAGACTGAAGGCCAGGAAATGTAGAAATGCATAACCCAAGTAGCACTGGCTCCTCATTCAATGGATGCCAAATGTTTTCTTATAACGAAATGGCTAATATTACTGTATTATTTTGGAAATTTGTCACCCTATGACACCAGCAGATTTTATCAACAAATTAATTTACTGTCAGATTCTAAACAAGTTTACATTGATTCTCATAATAAAGACCTGCTTGAGCTAAGTTTTGAAATGCATGTTTATTTGAAAATGGAAGAGCTCTACATACAAATTACAAATTAAAGATACCAAAATCAAATAGGTACAAAAATTTAAATATCTGGAAAGTGTTCTAACAGTGGACCAAAATGCAACACTGAAATCTAAGGGTACATTGGTTTAGTGAAAGATGGTTTCCAAATGCTAAGCAAGAAAATATTAGAAACAAAAAAGAATATTTACATTATTCAGACTGTTGTCTTCATCTTCTTTGTTATATTCACAATGTTTCTGCCATTGTATGTTCTGTCTTTCTTTAGATGATATATGTTGGAATTTTGAATCAAACTCTTCATTAAATCTATGGCAGGTAGACTGTTCTAGTTCCACATACCATGCCTATTCTAAAGATGAAGACAACAGTCTGTTTTATGTAATTAGTTACAATACCTCATCTCAGAAATATACACAAATGTTAGAAATGTAAATAATATAACAATAAGTATAAGGACAACAGTCTGCATAATATAAATGATATAATGGAATATGCATACACCTGAATTCCCCCTCACTGGAATATGATTGGCTGATGTCCATCATAAATATAGACAGATGTGTAGGTACGACAGAGTTTAAGTCTATGACACTGCCCATTAGACTACGCCATTGGCTATTCTATTGGGCTACACTTATTACCTGTGACTATGATGAGTACCAGTCAATTACTGCTACCATGTACTACTTGGTTACAATAGCCAAACCCACTTAGCTACTTCAATTAAATATATCTCTTTCTGGGACATATAAATAAATCATATAAATAGTTACAATACCTCATCCCAGCAATGTAAACAAAGAAAAGAGTACTGAACTATTATGTGATATCAGTCCTCCTATCTGGCAGAGAATGCTGTACAAACTCCTCACAGAGGAAGAAGAGATTTGAGGCAACAGAAATGTGGTTCTACAGAAAGATGATGAGAATACTATGGACCAAACATGTGAGCAATGATGAAGTTTTAGAGAAAATGGAAGCAAAAAAGACACTTGTACTTAAAGAGATTTCTAGGGCGCATAATGAGGAAAGAAAGCTTTGAAAATGTGATGCTCATAGGCTATATTGAAGGCAAGAGGGACAAGAAAACAATACATACCGTACTTAGTGAACTTGACTAAAGGGATGGAAACAGGATTCGGGAGAAATAAAAAGACAAAATTTATTAAGAGCTACAAAGGAGAGAAAATTGTGGAGAGTTATGATCGCTAATGTCCTAAAGGGCCACAACAAATTAAAGAAGTTTCAAAACTGCCGTCTACTTTGTTACTTTGTTCAACTCGATAATTTTGGTCATACAGTAAAAAGTATTTATCATCAAATTTTAAAATTTAATTTGGCTATTTTCATAAAATATTAGGTGTTTCTTCTTGTTGATATAATTTTCTGTAAAATAGTTTTAATAATTCAAAAAATTGATCGGAATTGGTTATTGCTACAAATTAAATGCTTTAAATAGTAAAATGATTATTGTAAAAGTGATGATATGTTTCAAAATATTCTTGGCTTTTAAATTAACTGACTATTGATTTTTTCTAAATTTCAGGTTATGAAAATGCATTAGACTATCTAGGTTTGTATCTTTTGAAATTAATCTAATGAATAGTCACAGAATTTAATTCGAATTAAGAACGTAATTGTTATTTTCTTATAGTTCTCTTACATGTTTGCAATAAATAAATAATACCATAATTCCCCATGTATAATATACCTTCATCTGTAATACGAACACTTAAAATTGTACTGAAAGTGTGGGAAAATGCTTCTACTCACACATAATATGCACCCCTTGTTTGGTAATCAAACTCTATAAATTAAACCTCTCCAATTTCATTACGGCCAGAGTTTTCTACCCTTATTTTTAAAAAATGGTCTTAAACATAGAATAATATTATTCTAATTTAGTTTTATGATAATTCTTATTTTATTTTACAGCAATTTTTTAAAGATTTTTTGTAGCTATGCATAATACGTACCTCTGTTTTTGCTTATTATTTTTTGGAAAAAATGCGTATTATACATGGGTAATTAAGGTATATCTTGGATATATCGATGTCACCTTGATTATTTAACCTGGAAACATTGATATAAAAATATTATTAAATTATATATGGTATATATGGGAAAAGGATATATAAAATGTTTAAGCTCATGAACTATTTCAAAATAAAAGAGTGGATCATTCTGATATCCAATAAATTAAAAGTCTCTAATATAATCAATCCACATTTGGCATCTCGACTTAAGTCACTTTTTTTACTGATGTGATGTGGATTCCCTCAGTCTTTTTCTTCTTAGTGCTTAAACTGCATTAATTTAAGTGTTCTACTAGATCGGCAACAAAATCTTACTGTTCTGCTGTTAAGCTAGCTAAACGTCAGTTCTATTCTTATATTTTTTTACCTCGCCTGTGGAACTCCCTTCAGCTTTCTTGCTTCCCTGCCAACTACAATCTTCAAAAATTTAAATGCAACTTCAATTTCCATCTTCTGCCTTCCTGAATCCTGTTTCACACTTCTCAGTAAAATCTCTTTCCCTCATTGCATCTTCGTGACATGAACTTTTTCTTTAATTTTGATTACTCAGGTTATTAGGTATCAGTTTCACTATTAAAAAAAAAGAAATGTGACATTTATTCAAACTCATCTACCTACTAAATATAACATGTATAGAAATAATATATATACTAATTTATGTTTACTGAATATATTCTTTTTATTCATTGCAGAAGAAGAACAAGAATATGGCTATCTTGGTTAGTATTATTTATTACACTTAAGTTCCATCAGGGACATGTGTTGATCCCCTCTGCACTACTACACTTGGGAAAGGCCTGAATCTGTTCCATGCTCCACCTTGCTAAAATCTTCTCATCCCCTTCTTGAAACTCTTAGTAGTATGCTTAGTGAGACATGATTAAAGCAAAACAGCTTATTTTCATGCCCTCACTCATAGCTTAAGAAAATAAACCTATCATTTCTTCTATTTACCGACACTTTGTGCTCAAAATAATTGAATGAGCTAGATGCAACCATCAGCCCTATTGTAATTGTTTCTTTTTTTTCGCCTGTGGAACTCCCTACAGATTTCTTGCTTTCCTGACAACTACAATCTCCAAAAAATTTAAAGGCAATGTCAATCTCCATCTTTTGTATTCCTGAAACATGTTCTTTTATTGTTCATTTCCACAGTTCTCCTTATTAAAGTTTTTGCATTCTCTTTCCCTCCCCATGACCCCCACCCCGTATTGTAGTGGCATTGTGATAATAAAATAACCACATCCCATCTCCCCTCTCATTTGTAATCATCCATCACAATAAAAAAAAAACAGAGTTTTTCAGTGCTAAAGCAGAATGAATCAAATGAAGCTTCATAAGAGTTGTTACTATATTACAGGCATTATTAGCTTTCTTGGGATGAAATAATTTGGAAAGGCATGAACCTATCTGTTCCCTTTTTTTGTCTACAGCTTGAATAACAGAACAGACTGAGCCCTCTTGTCTTAGTTGGAGTCTTGGTAAAGGAAAACTCCAAATTTAAAACTGCGGAAATGCCAACAGGAAACCACTTTATGATCTTTCTTAAGAACACTAATGCCAACCCACAATTTAAAATTATTAAAGAAAAGAAAGCTGTGGAGAGCTATGATTGCCATGGAGACACGGTGAAGTAGTTAAAGGCATGGAGGAGTAATGGATTGTGGCTCAGATTGATAAATTGGAGAGCTGAGATCAAATTCCAGTTGAGTTCATTACATTCAATTACATACTATTACTCTTGGAAAAGGTATCTTCTCCCCCCAGCTATGGGTAAATAGATAATAGGATATAACCCTTGGTGGCAACCAGTCTAAGAGAAGGAAAATTTCTGAATGTAAAACCAGTCTGGAGCTATCTTGCTCAGGTCATACTACTACGGCTGCAACTGCAGTACATGTGGTGCCTCAACTACCTTAATGAGTTAAAAGGTCTCATGATCGTACGTGATCATGATTTCTAATATGTTGAAAAACAATGGCATTTTAATAGAGGGAGAGGTCTTCTTCATATTTTTAATTCAAATTTTTTCCTTATTCATTTATTCTTCTTTAGTAGGTTCAAGTAGTTTAATGGTTAACAGTATCAAAAATGAAACTGGCAACCGAAGTTCAAATCCCACCTAAGACAGTTTATGTTCATTTCACATTAATATCCTTGGGGGAAGACATGAATCTGTCTGTTCTCCTTTTCTATGGAGTTAAAAATGATAGAGGAAAATTAGGCTCCCTTACCTTGGGTGGAGTTGAGTTTACAAGTCATAATTTAAAACCATGGAAAACCATGATCTTTCTGCAGAACATACATAATACATAATACATAATTTACTGATATTAAAATAAAAAAGAAGTCGTGGAGAGACATGTTTTTCGATATTTTGAAGGGAAATGGTACTTCAATTATGTACTAATACTATTGGGAAAGGTAGGTATCTATCTCTTCTCCCACCAGCTATGGGTAAATAGAGAGACATGATTTTCGATAGAGAGAATTCTTCATCTTTTCAATTCAAAACTTTTCTTCTTTTTTCTTCCTAGAGTAGTGCAGAGAGCTGAGTTAGAATTTCAGTTGAGTCCATTACATTCACTTACTGAGAAATATCGATGGGAATGTATGAATTCATCTCCTCCCACTAGCTATGGGTTCAATAGTATGGGACTTTTATTTGGAAAAATTATTGCTATTCTCAAAAATTTGTTAATGCAATATTCATTCACCAAAACAAAAATTATTCTTACAATATGTTTCATCACAAGGTGTTGATAAAACATAAAAAAACAATCAATGACCTTATTGGTTAACAATGTCAAAAAATAAAATTGGCAAACCAAGTCCAAATCCCAGCTAAGATAGTTTTTCATTTCACACTAATGCCCTTGAAAAAGTATAGCAGGTAAGTCTGATTTGATTTGAAAAAAATAACCTAAAATCTGTTGTTAATTGGGGCAAGAAATGGATTGTTAATTTTAATGCCTCCAAAGTAAAACTGCTCTCTTTTAATAATCTTAGAGAAGCTTTTTTATCTGCCATCAGCATGGAGATGTGACTCATTATGCCTTCTCAGTCTAATATCTTTTGCTGGCATGAAGTGAAAACATTATATTGAATTAATTGCTAGGTCTACTGCTAGGAAAGTTGGTTCATTGGGTCATGCTAGACAATTTTTATATATTTATACATTTATAAGTCTACCATTCATCCATGCATTGAATAATGCTGTCACATATGATACTGCTATGTATTTCTGAGGCTATCACATTTCTTTAATTCTGTCTCCTTAATTCATCTTTGGGATGTCACTTGTTTTTTCAACTAAACAAGTGTTTTTTTTTTACACTATGCAACTGAGGAATTGATTTCATTCCAATGCCCATGCTATAGGAAATCTCATATCAGTTGAGTTGACAAAATGTATTAAGAGCTACAAAGGACAGGAAATTATGGAGAGCCATGAACACAAATGTCCTTCAGGACAGACTGAGTCCTATAGCCTTGGGTGGTAGTCAGTCTAGGAGAAGGAACATCTCAGAATTCAAATGGCTCTCTTTAACAAGTTTTGTCTGTGAATAAATTAGACATGTGTTGCTGAATATATTAGCTGGCTCAGAATGGCAAACTACTGGTCAGAAGATCCTATGGCTGTGGAATTCTGACTGTGATGCATTGCGTTTGTTTTTGATATAAGATCACTGAATTCCTTTTCTACCTCTATGCAGGCAGTTTGTTGCCCACATAGGTTCTGGATTATTTTAATATCACCCCCCCCCAAAAAAAAACAATATTGTGTATATCAATATCTTATAAGAGATCACCATTACTTGAATATTACTTTTTATACTCACAATGAATTTTTATTTTATTTGTAGTTAAGAAGCAATTGGAACTTCAAGGTAAGTAATTTTGTATGATGTGACCTTTTAAACTGTTCAGGTATCTTGTATTCTAAGGAAAAAGATTTTTTAACATTTTAGCATTTTAAATACATTTTAAAGAAATAGTATTTTAAATTATTTTAGGATTTTCAATTAGTTTAGTATTTTACATAGCATTTGAAAAATAGTATTTTAATGTATTTTAGGAGCTTTAATAGCATTTTTAAAATAGCATTTGAATATGTCCTAGCATTTCAAATAGCATTTAAAAATAGTATTTTAAATTATTTTAAGATTTTCAATATCATGTTCAAGAAATGGTATTTAAAGGTATTTTCTTGTTTTAAATAGCATTTTAAAAATAGTATTTAAATGCATTTTAGGATTCAAAAAAAGAATTTGAAAAATAACGATTTAGCATTGTAAAGATAGTTTTTGAAAGTATTTTAGTATTTGAATAGCATTTAAAAATAGTAATTTTAATGCATATTAGGATTCTAAATAGCATTTTACAGATATAAAATTTTAAATTGCTTCTGCATTTTAAACCTAAATTTTGAAGTAGTAGTATTTTAAATTATTTTAATATTTTCAACAGCATTCTAAAATAGTATTTTAATTTGTTATGGAATTTTAAATACCATTTTAAAGAATGTTAGTATTTCAATGAAACATTTAATGCATTTTTGGATTTTAAATAGCACTTTACAGCAATAATATTTAACAATAGATGTACTACTTTAAACTGCATTTTAATAGTATTTCATTATTTATATATAATTTGAAAGAAAAATATTTTAAAGCACAGGTTGAGTCAAAATTATGTTAACACTAGTATGAGAGGAATCATTTATTCAGAGTTTAATGAACAGTCTTCATCTGTCCACCAGCATGATTGATGCACAAAAATCAGCAGAACGATTTAGTGCCTTGACACACATTTCATGGGGGAATGTTTGATATTACACCTTTTATTCTGTCCTTGAGTTCTTTGATGTCTCTAATGTTTATGCTATACACGCAATCCATTTTCATACCCCATAACCAGAAGTCATAGGGTGCCAGATCAGGAGAGTATGGTGGCCATGCCAATGGTCCGCCACAACCTAGCCAATGATTTGGGAAACTTTGATCGAGACAAGTGTGAACAATAAAGGCAAAATGAGGTGGCGCATTATCCTGTTGGAAATACCCTGCTTGTCTGATTTGTAGGGGCATGTTATCAATGGCAAACTCTTGCAGCATTTGTAAGTAAGCATTTGCAGTCACCGTGGGAGTTGTAAAGAAATATGGGCCAATTACACCCTGTGATGTCTGGTTATGGCATATGATAAAGGATCACATGTCTGTCTATATTTCTGAGATGATGTATTATGTACACTATTTACATTATTCAGACTATTGTCCTCATCTTTGTCACCATATTTATTACAACGTTTCAAACTGAACCCTTTATTTCACTCACTGAAACAGTGGATAAAGGTGTTGGTTAGATCCAGTGACAGGACCCAATGAGTGTGAGTTCAATACCCGGTTTAGGCAGTGGAGAACTTGGAGAGGGGAATTAACAGGAGATAACTTATAATTGACATCCATTAAACATGGCATGTGGAACTAGAACAGTCTACCTCAGTGAGTGAAATAAATGGTTCAGTTCAATATTCTAACCACCTGAAGAAGGCTGGTGTGTAAAACAGCCAAAACATTGTAATAAATATGGCGACAAAGATGAAGACAATAGTCTGAATAATCTAAATAGGATCACATGTATAGCAAAAATCTTAGAGACATCAAAGAACTCAAGGACAGAATAAAATTGTAATATCAAACATTCCCTATGAAATGTGTGTCTAAATTGTACTGTTGATTGCCAGTTTTTGTGCATCCATTGTGCTGGTGGACAGGTGGAGACTATTCAGTAAACTCTCACTAAATGATTCCTCTCATACTAGTGTTAACATAATTTTGACTCACCCTGTATTTTAAAGTACATGTTAAAGAACTAGTATCTATAATAGTGTCACAACATAGTTGCTGGGAAATAACTGTGAAAACACAGATGTTGTGATATGGTTTACAAGTTTTTAAATTTGTTACATGATTTTTTCATTCAATGCACAAAACTGTCCTTATTTAAGCATTGGCATAATTTTGTTTTATTTCCTTTATTCTCTCCTGAAATCTAATTGTTTTAATAAAAAAAAAAGTCTTGTAAGATACAGTAATCCTTTTTTTCCTTTTACTGTATTCTTTTTGAATATTACGAACTTTATAGGTTTTTTCTACTTCTGCATTTCAAATATAACTGTTTATTAAAAGGAGATGTTTTAAATTTTTCTTTTAAAATTATTTCATACATATTTAGGGCAAAATCTTGAAAATATTATTGTGGTTTTATTATGTTGCTAAGATTTTTATTAATGCACGACTACCGGCTATCACTTTCATTCTGATATTTAATGCATTTCTGTCATAAAATTATTAGCAATGCACTTAAATTAGACAAACAATAGCTTTATTTTGTCAGAAATACATGAATTAATTCCGGAACACTTATATTCTCTTCTCTCTACTTTCCAATGCATATCTATATTAAATTCCTTCATCAATATGTGTAATAGTTACCATGGCAAAATCCTTCATAAATACATATAATAATTTATTTAGTAAAAGTATATATCAATAAAGGAGGTACATTGGAATAATGGATAGCGGCTCAAATTGAGGAATCGTGGAGCTGAGTTCAAATTCCAGTTGAATTCGTTACATTCACTTAGCATTCGATGGCAACTGGTCTACCATAGATAGAAATGGCAACCTACTATGGGAAAAAATCTGCCTCATCAGTCATGAATTGAAAGATACATGATCGCCTAAGCATGCATCATGCATGGCACATAACTGACTGATATATCAATATATAATAATTTCTATAGTAAAATCATATATCAATATGTATAATAGTCCTATTCTGTTAATAAGACATTATTAATAGAATTAATTCCTAACTACTGACAATCCCTTTCACTTGCTTGAATTTTCAGTGAATTTCTATAGTAAAATCATATATTAATATATATAATAGTTACTACAGTAAAGGCATATATCAATACATATAGTTTCTATAATAAAATCTTTCTGACAATCCCTTTTGTTATGATTTTTTATGCCAAATATGATATTGACTTCTGTTTTATGCCACTTCAGAGAAATAGTTTCTAGTTACAAGTATGTGTGTATTTATTATTTTGCTTCTCCTTGTATGAATTAATTTTTGCTATGAGTTTGTTGTATTTTTTCTGTACATGTTTGCGCATATGCTTTAAATTATGTTTAAAAACAATGAAACTATAAAAACTCATACATTAACTCACTTTGAACCAGATAAGAAGTTGAACAACTGTGAAATTTAGGTTAAATTGAATTGCTACAAATTTTTAAACATCACTGCATATAATATAATGCACAAGATATTTTTCTACAGAGCCATAAAGTTCAAAGTTAGAGATGCAAATTATACACAAATAATTGGAATAGTTAGAAATTCTTTCCTTGTTTAGCTAATGCTATAGTACAGTTTGTTGACTATGTACTGAGAGTAAGGAAATAAACAGAGAATGAGGCATTAAATAGTGAATATAAAAAAGTAAATGTACCATGGAATGAACTAAACATGTAGTGTAAGAAAGTTAGGATGCTTGTCTCTGTTGGTAGTTGTGTAATTAAAAGAAAGAAAAATACTACTAAAATATTGAATTTCCTATTTTCCATATTTTCTTTTCATATTTAGTTTCATAACCTCCATATTCAGTTGTACATTTAACTTCTTAAACATGAGTCTTAGTTTCCAACTCAGCACATCCAGTTTCTTATGCTTAAGATTTATTTTTCTACTTCTCACATTTAGTTTCCTACACTGCACATTTAGTTTCCAACTCTGCAAATTTAATTTTGTATGTTCAATATTTAGTTTCCTACAATCCATATTTTTTCTTAGACACAAGATTTTATTTGCTACTCTTTATACTCAGTTCCCCACTATACATATTTAGCTTCTCACACTGCATAATTAAAAGAAAGAAAAAACTTGTAATTTCAATGAATGATTTATTTTTTTATGGAAATATTTTGGCTTTGGAAACTAAATATTGAATTTGAGTAGGAAACTAAATGTGGGAAGTAGAAAAATAAATCTTAAGCATAAGAAACTAAATGTGTTGAGTTGGAAACTCAGACTCGTGTTTAAGAAACTAAATATGCAACTGAATATGGAGATTATGAAATTAAATATGAAAAGAAAATTTGAAAATAGGAGACTTAATATATCAGTAGGAAACTAAATCATAAATATAAGAAACTAAATCTGCAGAGTAGCGTACACAATACAGAATGTAGGAAACTAAATTTTGAGTGTAAGAAAATAAATTGCACATGGAGGAAACTAAATATGGAGGGTAGGAAACTAAATATGGAGAGTGGAGAACTAAATATGGAGAGTAGGAAACTAAATATGGAGAGTGGAGAACTAAATATGGAGTGTAGGAAACTTAACATCAGGGTAGGAAACTAAATATGAAGGATAGGAAACTAAATATGGAGGGTCAGTAACCAAATATGAATAGTACAAAAATAAAAATTTCAAGTAACAGTTATATCATTCTTTTTCATTTGTTGTTTTTCAATGTTAATTCAAAAAAATGTTAAGATCATTTTTAACAAAAATATTTTACATTTAATAAAAATTAAAACGGTGATCGCATCTTTCTCATGTATTTAATTTCTATTTTTTTAGGCTATAACTCTGCTAGACTTGACATCATGTTTGTAGTTGACACATCTGATTACCTTGGGAAATATAACTTCCTGAAGGTGAAAGCCTTTATGAAAGCATTTGTTAAATATTTCCGTGTCTCACCCAGACATGTACGAATTGGTGCTGTTACATACAGCACCAATGTACGTGACAACTTCAATCTGAACAGCTATAAAAGCCTTAAGAAAGTTCTTCGTGCCATTGACAGTATTGAATATGTGCAAGGAAAGGAAAAAACGGGTCAAGCCTTGAAGTACGTCAGAATGGTTTCATTCCGTCGACAATATGGAGCTAGACTCTATGTGCAGAGCATTGCCATTGTGATAACGAATGGTAAATCCACTGATCCTGACAGCACATTAAAACAAGCTAATTTGTTGAAACGTGAAGGAGTGAAAGTGTTTGTTGTAGCCATTGGTGAAGTATCTTTGAAAGGCATAATGGAAATAGCGAGTGTACCATCCGACTGGTTCATCATACAGGTGCCTAACTACTCTGCACTTGAAAAATATGTGTGGATATTAGCATACAGAATATACTGGGGTAAGTAAAATTTTTAATTTATGTATGGACATAATGCTTTTGGGTCTCAGTGTACAAAGTGAAAAGATCTCAACCTAACCAACTTCTGACCAGACCAAACATTTTGTTTGGAAATACTCCTTGGTTAGCCCAAGAACTTTTCAGAATATATATAATACATTTGTTCACTGAGTTGTTAAATGTCCCTATGTTGAATAATTCACTATCATCTCTCCTGAAGAGTGGATGTCATTAAAAAACTAATTATAAAAGACTACTAATATATCATCTTCCAGAATGATCTGAATAATTTTAGTCTTTTTTATAGTTCTCTCTCTCTCTCTCTCTCTCTATATATATATATATATATATATATATATATATATATATATATATATATATATATATCTTGGGCTTACAACCACATCAGGTTCCCATATGATCACGGAAGTTAAGGAATATCAAGTTTGGTCAGTATTGAGATCGGTGACCGCTTGGGAATAGCAATTGCTGTAGCTTGGATGTGCAGTTGGTGTAAATGAAATGTCTCAGAAGTCTTAATCAGGAGCCAAGTTGTTAACACCAAATCGGTTGGGTTTCCATCCGGGCTTGAGGCATTTGTTTGTTTAGTCTCACTGAGGAGTTGTGATACAGCGAAACAGTACTGTCTGTGAATGACATATATATATATATATATATATATATATATATATATAATGTTTGGGCTCACTCTCTGAATTTTGAAGAACTGCATAAAAATTGATTTCATGCCTTTTTCAAAACTTTTTTATGAGCTCAATTCAGGGCAGAGAGATTTTCTCTCCATGAAGAGTTCTATCATATATTCAATAATGATAATAAATAAATTTATATATTCAGCAATGATAATAACATAATTAACCCATTACTGTATAAAAATTCTTTAATACATTAGCTGTTATTTCTAATCTACCCTGCTGGTTAATGATAATCTTAGGTCTAGTGGATTTAAAAATTTAGGCAACACCTCCCTCTCTAAAGGATTGGGTGGCATGCACAAAGGTGTTAAATAGTTTTAGCATTCTAGTTTAGAAATTGATTAAACCAAAGAAGATATGGAACTTACTAGTTATTAAATCCATAGGGTGGTTCCAAACTTTGGGCCTATAGATTATATATATGTTTTTTAATAATTTCACCCCAAGCAGGGCAATAAAGCCACTCAGACACAAGAGGTTACTAAGTGTTAGAGAATATGAAAAAAATATACTATTAAGGATAGAGAAAAATAAAGGAACAGGAATTAAGAAGACAGGAGATAATAACTAACATTGCATTTAAATTTCTGAAGAGCAAATTTGTCTGGAAAGCCAGAAGGGTGTTCCACAAGTGAGAAGTGTGAGAGAAGAAACTCTTGGCATATGGTTACATCTAGCCAACAGCAAAATGATGAGACCTTGCAACCAATCTTATAATGTACTTAAATTCATAAAGTCTAGGTGTCATAAAGAAAAGTTTATTAGAACAATTACCATGAAAATATAGGATAGGTACAGGGAAACTACTTTATGCCAGTGGCAAAGTGACTGAAGCCAATATATATAATATATATATATATATATATATATATATATATATATATATCCAAATGAGAGAAAGAACAGATGGAGTAAAATTCCACTGTTCATAGCATTTATATTGAAAAAAGTGCTCAATACAAAGTAGAGCAATATATTTAATAATGCTATGTATTGCTATCCAGTTAGTATTATTAATGTCTTATATAGATGTTCCACATGTTCATCTTTAGCTATGGGCCCCTTTAAGAGGCTTCCTGAATCTAAAATTTGAAAAAAAAAAAAATTTTCTATTTAAATTAACTTAACGTCTGATTATCTTTCTACTCAATCTCTTTTCAAAAATTGAACATGTCGTCATATTTGTCTGCAATCACGATACATTTGTTGCATACATATTGTCAATGATGGCCTGTCTATGTTCTGGTTTATCATGGCATGAAAAAATACCTCTCCCACCTCCACCCTCTGAGCTTACTTTTCCATTTGGCACAGATCTGACATTTAATTGGTTAATCAAGACATACCCGCAAGTTTATTTTTAATTCTGACCTTATGTTTTCCCACCTTCCCTTTATCTTTCAGAAAAAAGGTAACACTTTGCTTTTGAAATTTTCTTAAAAATCATTTAATCATCAGTTACTTACCATCGCCTGAAGAAGTACAATCAAAGTATTGAAACATGAAAGCTTTTGTGTAGCAGTTTTCATAATAATAATTTATATATATATATATATATATATATATTATTACATAACAGAAGTCCAAAATTACCTTGTGAGTATAGACTATTTCAACTAATGTCAAAGCGTTAACTTTATTCAACTCAAATCTGATTTGAATTGAATAAAGTTAACACATTGAGGTTAGTTGAGATAATCTTTACTTATTATTTATTTTGGATTTCTCTGTTATATAATTTATATCCTCTGTTATAATAATTACATTGAGCTCTGTTTGTGGATCAGTTTTAATACTTTTATATTATTAGGATCAACTTGGATTATATATCAATGGATTTATTACCTGTCTACTATATATATACATATATATATATATATATATATATATATATATGTGAAAATATATAGAAAATAGGAAAGAACTCATTAGGTAAATAATCCAAAGTTCGTTAGTGTTTTTGTTATTATTTTTAAAAAACAGTGCTCGATACAAAAGTGGAGCCTAAATATAATTATTCAAAAATGTTTTCGGCTCTTGTTTTGAAACATGAGAACTCTTATGTATTGATGGAATATATATATATTTGGGTTGAAGTAAGGTTTCTTACTAATATTGCTAATATTGCATGCAAGAAAATGTCTGAACATGTCTTTGGTAGTATGAAAAGTCCTGTTCAGATGTGATTTGTGTCAGCTAACTGTAATGATACTGATTAATGCCAATCATTCATTATAAGTATTATTTTCAAGTTGCATATAAAGCAGCAAACAGGGAGAGAATTTTTGGTTGAGAAGGTTACCTGACAATTGAAATTCACAGATGTAAAAAAATAATGAAACATTGAGAAAACTCAAACAAGACCTCTGCAGAATAAGGCCTGAAAGGTAAATGTTTTTCACACTACAACAATTCATGGCTGCAAATGCTTAGAAGTCTGAAATTCACTGCCACGATTTGTTACCAACAAACTTCTGGCATTTCCTGAAACTGGAAAAACTGTTGAAAGGTCAACATTTTTCATTGGATGACAAAGTTGAGCGAAAAAGTGGTGAGAATGTTTGGAAAAACATATGAAACTAAATGATAACAATGTCAAAAAACAAACCTGTATGTTTGAGCAAAGAGAAACTTTGCTTTATTTTGGTACAAGTTTCATTACTTAAACTAGTGTAAAATACATTTATAAGATTGAAGACCTTACTAATTAATGAAGTCTCCTAATTTTGAAGAGAAATAAATTTACTTTATTTTCATACCAGTTTTATTCTTCTATTAATTTTTTTAATCATATGACCCCATGCAAGGCAGTAAAGCCACTAAGACACAAGGGGTTTCTGAGTGTGAAAGAATAAGAAATAAGAGAAACATTATTAAGGAGTGAGAACAAAAGAAGTGTAATCAAGAGAACAATAGATAATGCTTGACATTGCATTTAAATTTATAAAGGTCAAAGTTGGCTGGGAATCATGAGAAGAGAGTTCCACAAGAGAGAAGTGTGAGAAAAGAAACTATTAGCATAGAACTAATGGTTACATCTAGCCAATTCAATTGTGAATTGATGAGACCTTGCCACCAATCTAGTACTGCATTTAAATTCATACAGTATGGATACCATAGCAAAGAGTTCATCTGAACAATTATCATGAAAGTGTTTATAGAAAAATTCACAGGGAAGCTAAATTATGGTGGTGGGAAATTGTGTGAAGTTGAGACATCAGATCAAGACCAATAATATTACTGATTCTTTTTTGGATCCCTAAATGTACAGCAGGTGTGCCAGACCATATGTGGCAGCAACATTTAAAGTATGGATGAATGGTAGACTTAAAAACATGTAAGATAGATTCATGAGAGAAAAATTGTCCAGGATGACATAGCAGACCAACTTTCTTAGCAAGCTGACTTAGCAATGGTTTCAATAGAATCTTTCCACTTCATGTCAGTTCAGAATATTAGCCCAAGAAGGCAACAATGTCTGGAGGTTAGTATCAGTCATGTTGTTGGGAGGTTTCGTTTAGTTTGTGATATGTCCTGGAAAGGGATATATTTGTCTGAAGTAGCAATGTAGTTTTGGGCTATAGTAACCAGGTAGGACAATCTAGCAGGTAGCCATAATGGATTGGTATTTGTCATAGGCATAGGCAATAGGCATAGGCAACTCCACATCAGTCTGTATTTATGGCTGACACCAGCCAATCATATTACTGTGAGGAGTAACCCAGGTGTATGCATATTCATTACATCAGTGTCTTTTACAGCATATCAACCACCATGGGTTATTTAATGCTGACAATTTTTATTGCTGGTAATATTTTCCTTCAAAAATGTATTGCTGGTATTATTTTTTTTCCATTAAAAATGTATTTCTGGTAATATTTTTTTCTTCAAAAACCTTTATCTGGTAATATTTTAACTCTGAAAATGTATCAGTGGTAATATTTAAAAAAAAATGTATAGCTGGTAATATTTTTTTCAAAAATGTATTGTTGGTAATAATGTATTACTGGTGGTAATAAGACCCTAACAGGTGCTACCTCCCTGGGTCAGGGTGGACCTGGGAACATCAGCAATTAAGAGGTGGTTTCACGCTCCTCAAAACCTCCTGATCATAGTCTTAAGCAGGATGCGGATGTAGTTTATCATCATACCCAGGACGGGTTGTTGGGAGGTAGTAAAAGGGTCTTTCAGGTGATCTGAACTAAAACTTTTTTGTAGGATTGGACTTATAAATCAAGCCTTGTAATTTTGAAGAGGAATAAATTGATTTTGATACCTGTTTCAATAGTTTATCTTGTTTGAAACTTCTTTTATAGGATTTGGAGGCATTACTTATTCAGATTTTTTAGAAACCGATAATTAATATTTTTATTTTAATTTTTAAAATTAATAACAAGTTTTACATTGGGCCTTTATAGTTACTTGTATTTTTTTAATATTAGTGACTCTCTGAACTCTTTCTAATTACATTTCCCTGTTTCTTACAAGCAAGTTGAATAGTTACTAATATTTTTTTAAAAACAAAGAAAAAATGTTGAACTGCTATGTAATATCAATACTGCTAGTAGTGAATGTTAGACAATTTCCTCACAGATGGCAACAGAAAGAATATAATGATTAAGGAGTATCTTAAAGGAGCTAAAATTACTTAGAATAATGAAAAAAGGAAAGTTGTGGAGAGTCATGATCACCTACACCTTGAAAGAAAAACGCATATGAAAGAACATTAAATATGCTTCTCAGAACTGCATTTCTGAATCTTTTGTTGATTGTTGCGTTATTGATCTGGTTCTTCTTATCGCCTCCTGGACATTTCCATGTCCATAATTGCTTTGGCTGTACTTGAAACAAGACAATTTTGTAGGAAATAAAGATAAGTGTTCAGTTCTTATTTAATCAATTCGCCTCTAAGGCAATGAATGCTGGACAATTTCTTTGCAGATGAAGAAGAGACATGTGGCAACAGAGATGAGGTTCTGCAGAAGGATGCTGAGAATACCATGAATGGAGCATGCAAGCAATGAGGAAGTTTTAAGGAAAAAAATGGAACACTTCCACTTAGTCATAACATGATAGTTGAAATTACTGCAATACATAATGAGAAGAAAGAAGCTTTGAAGAATTTGACACACACAGGGCATACTGAAAGCAAGAGGAGGAGAGGGAAACAATGTGTAACGTATATATAATGAGAAGAAAGATGCTTTGAAGAATTTAATACACAGAGGGCATACTAAAAGTAACAGAGGGAGAGGGAAAAATGTGTAATGTACCTTATGATCTTATGTACTTGGATGGTAGAACAGGTGGTTGGAGAGATAGTAAAAAGACAAAGAGCTATGAAGGATAAGTTGTGGAGAGTCATGATTTTCCACATATTCCAGGAACATATTGCATTAAAAAAGATGATTTTCTTCCACAACAACAGGATATGCTGTACATTCAGTTCCTAATCTTATGTTCTTTGAGTGGAAACTTTATATTTGTAATGTGATATTTTTTGGTAAGAAATCTACAGACTCTATCAGAACAAATTTCACCTTTAATAAAATAAAGCAAAACCCAAAGAATACAGGAATTTGCAAGAGGTTAACCAAGAAAAGAAAAAACAAGAAAAATAGAAGAAAAAGGCAATATAAGGAAATTTTAACCTGTTGATGTCTAACAAAACATCTGGGGTTAATTATAAAAATTCAAATAAAATCTGCTATTAATTATAAAAGATAGAATAAAAATCTGCAATTATACCTTTATAAAAACATCAATGAAAAGTTTTTATGAAAAAATGAAAACAAAAAGAGCACTTACTCTTAACAATCAGAAAATGAAAGTTGAAATTTCTAGTGTACATAAAGGGAAAAGAAGGCTTGACAAATTTAATACTCACAGGAAATATTGAAGACAAGAGGTACAGAGGAAAGCAGCAAATGACCTACCTGATAAGCTTGTAAAATGGTTGGCCAAACAGAGATTTAGATAGATAGCAAAAAAACAAAACTTGGGGCTAAAAAGGACTAGATGTTGTGGAGAACCATGACTGCTCACGTCCTGAAGGAATGCATCACAAAGATAGAAGAAGACTGAATTCATTTTCTATCCATACACAGATGGTTTGCTCCCAGTATCTCTTCTGGACTATTCTAATATTATTCCCAAATCAATAAAGCTTTCCTAGCAGTTCAAATAGTTCTTTGTGTTATATTTTATCAAATGTTATTTACTCTATATTGTTCTACTTGTTGCTTCATGCATTTGGATCTTACTCTTTCAGTAACCTCTTGTGTCTTTCATGAAAATAAAAATGCAATTAAGGTTTTTTGTTAAGATTTTAAAAAATTAATCATTTTTTTTTTTTCATGCAGGATTTGACAAACAATGGATCTTGCAAGGTGAGTAATTTTTTTTCCCTTAATCAGCCTTCTTCCCTTTCCTGAAAAGAGAAGCATTTCCACATTCTATCTTACCAGTGGTTTTGACAAAGAGCAGTATCATACTCACTATGCTATGGTGTTGAGGAGAAATTTCCATCATGTTTTGCAATTTAGCTTAGTGTGCTTCCACTTTAGAGATCAGCACCCTGAATATTTACCCATGTCTCTGGTAGGAGTTGAGTATTTGGAGAAGTAGAGAAAGATTTTGGATGACACTAATAAATAGATAGTGAAACATTTAAATATATATACAGATGTATATATTGTTCCTTATTACTCATATATATATATATATATATATATATATATATATACACTAGCAGCATGGCCCGGCATTGCCCATGCTTGATTCAAAAATAGTACAACTCATACAGCAATTGCTATCACTAGACTTAAAATATTTTTGCACTTCCTTGCCTTTAAAGGACTGCCCTTTGCCGTGCTGATGTTGCTACATGCCTTACTTCTTGCCTATCTCACACTGAAAATATTTTTTAAGCTCTATACTAAACATTAAATCTGTTATGAAAAAAGAACTAAACAAAATGTACACAAAATGATCAGCTTTAAAAAAGGACTCGTAACTGGAAAAACTGAATGAAAAAAGAATGTTAACAACAAATACTTTTTCACACACAACCCAGTTCTGTGGAATCAGAATCAACGTTGGGTTTAAGCAAGCGAATGAGCCAATTGGAGTAAAGTGCCATGCAGATTTAAATTTTTCCCACTTGTGATGAATGCAGCTATCGATTTTTTTTGCATGCTACCATGCTAGTTAACATTCATGTCAATCAGCTGTTGGCTCTCATGCTGGCCAATAGAATCTTCCTGCCTATTTGTGGCAGCCAGCTATAGGCTCTCACTCTGGCCAGTAGAAAATGGCTGTAAACTACATAAAAACTGCCGTAGAAGCATGAAAAAATCGATTATCTCCATTATTGCTGGGAAATGCAACGTCAGTCTTGGCCTTCACACTAACCTGGAGCATGTGCATGTAAATTTTTGTGCAAATCCATTGAAAATTGCGGCCGTGCATTCGTTACATACACACACATCCTGCCTTTTATAGAGAGAGATATATATACAAGTATAGGATTGGTGTATACAGAATAAATTCCAATAACCAAACAATAATATTCTTAAAAGAGCAATACAGGGTAGTACAAATATAATTATTTATTCGAAAATTATAACACAAATATTTTTTAAAATCCCTACAAAAATAGCCATTTTGTTTCAACACTTCTGGTGTCATATCAAGTGATGGTGTTCAACACCATCACTTGGTATGACATTTAGAAGTGTTGAAACAAAAATGTCTATTTTTGTAGGAATTTTATAACATATTTATCTCATAATTTTTGAGTTAATTATATATATATATATATATATATATATATATATATATATATATACATATATATATATATATATATATATATATATATATATATATATATATCAATTGGGATCTAAATTGATTGTAATCTGACATAATGATAGGATAAAGAACAAATAACAAACATTTATCAATATAACATATTTCACTTTTATATAAAAGTGAAACATAAAATTGATAAGTGCTTCCAGGATTTAGTTTTTGTCTGTTTAGGAAACTGTTTTTGGATAATTCTAGTGTTCCTTCCTTTGTTGGGATGAATTTTAAGTCACTCAAGGTAATATCATTCACAATGTTCAAACTGAAAATTTACATGATTTTTTTTAATGCAAACTTCAATATACAATCTCTTTTGTTCCAGCAAACCAGGGGAGGGCATAATTTATCAAAATCAGTTATATAAACAGACAAGAAAAACAAAATCCCCTTGACAACATTCATTGGCATTTGGAAAAAAAATGAACTTTGGAAAGCTTACCAATTCTATAAAGAAATTTATTCACTAATTTTAAAATTTAAAAAAATTGTTGTATATATATATATATATATATATATATATATATATATATATATATATATATATATATATATATATATATGAATAATAATAGACTCTCCTTTCGGTTTCAACGAATGAGGATCTGACAGCTTTTTGATTCAGTTATGAAGTTTTGTGCGATGATCTTAAGCGGCATTTAAGACCCGCTAGTGATTTACAAAGGAGGCCACATATGGAACAAGTGTGAGGATTGTAAGATGAGATCACTGTTAGATTGGTTGACCTTTTAGATCTTGCTCTCGCTTCTTGAAGATGATTCAGACAAGCAGATTGAATTGAGTCCACTAAAACATGTTGATCTTCATTCTACCCACTCCAAGGCTAAGTTCTCAGCTTGTCTTTGTATCTTAGCCATATATATATATATATATATATATATATATATATATATATATATATATTTGGTTGGATAGATGTTAGCTCTATCTCTGATATTGAGCGCTTTCTAATAAGTACAAGACATATAATATATAAATAATAATACATATATATATTTATTTATATTTATATACACTTTTCACACACACACACACACACACACACACACATATATATTGGGTGTAACAGCAAAATTGTCTAATTGTTACATTAAGTTTTGAATTGTTATATTTTAGAATTGATTAAAGATATCTTACTGGAATTCTCTGAGGTTTTTATAACACTATTGGATTCTTTCTACTTTGAGCAATAAGAATGTATCATTACTCTCTAAGCTTAACAGCTGTTCATTAATTAATCATAGTTAATGATCGGAAGCTCATGAAGGATTGAAATAAAGTTCAAATACATACATACATATATATATATATATATATATATGTATGTGTATTATTCCACGATCATTTTCTAACTTATTCAAGATGATTTTCATCCTCTCACCTAACTTTCTGTTCTGGAGTAACAAGGCGCCTCATACATTTCACATACGGTTTCTTATTCAAGTCTTTTTTCACTGCTCTTTGGACTGTCATAGCTGAGAATCCTCACTCACGTGCCAAACGTCTTATGAATTGAGTTGGATCTTTTCTAATTCATCTCTTTAGCTCTAAGTTGAAATGATGATCCCTTTTCTTCTTGTGACCTTCTGATCTAGATTTCCTCTCTACTGTTCCTTCATTTTTAAACTTATTCACCATTCTCTTGATGGTTCTTGAATGAACTTTGAGGATGGAAGCCAGAATATGAATGTTGGTATCATTACTGAAGGCCTAAATGATCTTTTTCCTCTCACCATTGCTCAGTTGTGATCTGACACGAAACAATTTTAACCTGTTCTCTTTAGCTGAATAACCCAAAAGGTTTTTCAGTGATTTTTATGATAAATGGTGTCAAGATGGCTAAATGGCTATTAAACATTTCATAGGATAGAAAATTATGCTTTTACATGATTAGGACAATTTTGCTGTTACACCAGGTATATATATATATATATATATATATATATATATATATATATATATATATATGTATCTAGAGGTAGGATCCCTGACTGATGCCAAATCAATCATGTTTCGATACTGGCTTGAAGCAACCAACAATCTAGAAACACTGAAGTGAAACAGTCTGTCTGTGGATGACTATATATATATATATATATATATATATATATATGTATGTATGTATATATATATGCATGTAAGTAGAATCATATTTTCAACTTTTCTGTTCAAACTTTGAGTTTTGAAGATATGGTATCCACTTGATAGTAAAAAGTAAGTTTATTTAAAGAAATCCCGTATTGTTTAAAAACATTATTTTTCTAAAAAAACATGTTCATTTTTTTTTATATAAAACCTATTTTAAATTTGTCATATTATGATAAGACATAACTATCATTTTTTATGTGTATCACATATGTATTTTAAAAAAGCTCTCATATATACGTAAGAAAAAAGTATATGCAAAAATATATATATATATATATATATATATATATATATATATCAGTATCTCTATCTATCTATCTATCTATCATATATATATATATATATATATATATATATATACATACATAGTACGTATGTATATATATATATATATATATGCACACTGTTGTTCAGTTCTTTGAAGACATTTAATTTAGTAAAAAGACACATGTCATATAAGAAGAGCTTTATTTGAGAAAAAATTGTTGTGAATAATCTTGAAACTCTCTTTGACGAATCAACTTAATGAATATGTCATTAGTGTCAATGACTGCTTCAATCGAAAGTCTGAAACATTGACATGCCTGAATCAGATGACCTTTATCTATTTGTGACATTGTGCAAGTTATAGCAAAACTTCACAGACATTATAATGTTATGGGGGTGTTGATTGACTTCCTTCTTCCTTATGCCTCATACCTACTAGTCTACCAGACTTAGGTCTGGAGAGCATAGAGACTATATATTTAGGTTGATTTAAAATTGGAGATTGTAACTCATCCATTCCTGGGATGTCTTGGCACTATGAGGCTGTGCAATCCTGTTGGTAGTTTTACAGTTTTCCTTTGCTTATGGTCTCCATCAAAGATCTCCCAACCTTCTCCAACACTGACCCTTAGCCCCTGAAGAAAGAAGTGAGGATGTATGACATCTCCAAATTTCTCTTCTTGCCAGAAACCATGCATAACTTGGAATGTCCTTAGGATCTCTGCATAACAATCTGTCATTACTTCAGTTGAATAATATTGTATTTCTGGTAAGTTACCAGATAATGGGTGAGTTATAGAAGAAAGGTTCATTCTCCTGGTTTGTATTTTCCCCATTATTGGCATTATTATATCCATGATATAACAACACATTGTTTCATGGACAGAAAGGAAAGAAATGACAAACAAGCTTTGGTCTGAAAGAGAGTTTTATACTGCTAACTCATACACAGAATTATATATAAATATTTACAGGTGTCCCATGCAGAGAAACTACAACACACATATATACAACAAGCAGTATGAAAAGGAGCTAAAAGATAGGTTCTTACTTGTAATAATTCCCAATGGGACTGGGTGCTGGAGATTCTTCTGTGTTTCTCGAGAAGCCATATTTAGGATTCTAGATTTGAGCAGGGTACATTTATCTGCCATGTCACTAGTGAGAACATATTCCCCTCAAACAAAAAATGGTGAGTCATAGGTTTTTCTCAAAATTGAGGACTGCAAGCTGGAGATAGTTTCTATATCTGGTGAAAGTATATTTCTATGGGAAAATGCTGCCTTGAACATGTAGGCTGCACCATATGGGAGCTGGCTAGCCTGGGAAACAACCTGGACAGAACAAACAACTAGTGTGTCTGACTCCAAGCAGTTGACTGACTGATTGACTGACTAGTCAACTTTTGAGGCAGATTTAGCCTTGCCTGTGCTACAAAAGGAACCTTGAATCCTGGAAGCTGACTGACTGATTAGTTTCATCACTCGTATAGAATCCCCATCAGTGGCTTCCAGTTCTTTGTGAACTTTGACAATAAACGACCATGAAATGAGCAATATTCAAATCATTGTGCTTTGACTTTCACCTTTATAATTTATAAAATGACTTTCTATTGTGTGTGGGTTTGTGTGCGTGTTTTTACATACATGTATGTCCAAGTATACAAAAAAGGATCTAATATGTATACATGCCTGGGTGGGTGCGTATGCAAGTACATATATATATATATATATATATATATATATATATATATATAAAAGTTGCAAATTAAAAAAATAATGTTTTTTTATGGAAGTATTTATTTATTTATATATATATTTAATATTTCAGATTAACCTCAATCTTTCTTCAGAATAATAATAATAATGAGTTATTTCTGAAGAAAGATTGACGTAATTGAAATATTAAATATATATATATATATATATATATAAATAAATAAATACTTTCAAAAAAACATTATTATTTTTTTAATTTGCAACTTTTTCTATATATACATTAAGAAAGTATACATGGATTCTCATTATATATATATATATATATATATATATATATATAATAATGATAATAAAAGAAAATTTTCTAGTTTTGGTGGACTGATTTAAAATCCAACAACACTAAATGGCTCTAATATAGATATAGATAAAACCTGCAACAAACATGCAGACAGACACTCTCTTGAGTCTGGACATAAGATGTAATAAGGTAATGTAAATTAATTTAATTTATGGTTGCCACTTATCCTCAGAGTTCACAAGTGATTTTTTTCTCACATGCAGTTTTGTCTTTCATTCTAACCAAAGGAAACCAAATTGAACAGACATTCTTGGTGAAATGCATTGTCAATAAATTTTTTTCTTCATGTCATCTTCAGTTATTTTTTCTTTTTACACACACACACACACACACACACACACGCACACAGGGTGTATCCAAAATACTTTTACAAACTTTGGGTGCAGGTTTCTCACACCAAGCCAAGGACAAAAGTATATATAAACATATGTCCATGGTGAGTGATCAGAGGGCAAAAGACCCTGCACATATTGCAGATGATACAGATAGAGTACCCTCCATGTAGTACTATGAAATTTACAGCATACATGATGTGTGATGATACATGGATCATCTCTGACAACCTGTAGAATGTGTTATTCATGGTCAGACATATGAGTGGATCTTGGTCTTCCTCAATCCATAATTTGTTTTGCCACAGATTCTGTCTCGGCAATGTGACAGTAAACTCCAGGAAAGGTCAGATGACACAGCTGCCTTCAGTCTGGGAACACAATTCAGTACAGTCATGCATCCATTACCATTCATACAGCCATATGAAAAAAAATCATATCTGCCTGCTCTCGATATAAATATCATGCCATTATTAAATGGAATACTTCTCAGTTAACTCACTACTACACACATTAATGTTGAAGACAGACTAATCCCAAATGTACATGAATGACAAATGTAACCTAATCTACATGGCAACACAGTGCCATCTACTGTGAACTTACATAAAACTTAATAACTCAAAAACATAGGATTTGAAGACTTGTGTACATGTGGTGTGAAGAAACTGTCCCCACTGTTTGTAAAAGTAATTTTGATACACCATATATATATATATATATATATATATATATATATATATATATATATATAGAGAGAGAGAGAGAGAGAGAGAGAGGGTGAAAGAAGGATTTATATAATAATGTTGTCATAAAATAAATCAATTATTTTTATATTATATGATTTTTTTTTTTAAAACAGGTTACCAACAGAAGCTGCAGTATCTTGGTTCGTACCATTAATATTTTAAAATCCTTTTTATTTACAATATATATTTTTAAAAATAGGAATAGTGAAGTAAAGATGTTCTTTTCCACTCTTTTTACCATTGTTTTAAAGTCTTGGAATCATTCACTGAATTGAATTGTGACTGAAAGGCAAAATAAATCCAGATTGACAAAATGTGGGGGAAATTTGTGATTACATGAGCTACATGAATAAAGAAAAGTTTCTTTGGAGTCCACAGAATTTTACTTACTGAAATAAATATGTTGGAAAGTATCAAAATATAGAATTGTGTCATTTGAAAAAAAAGAAAAAACAAGTCTTCTATTTCGGATCACTTGATAAATAACTATAACTGTGCCGTTAATTTTAGTGTGGACTCATTTTCTGTCCCCAGTAAGTCCCACTCAAGTTACCACTTGAGAATATTGGAGGCCATATATATTTCTTCTTTGAAACCTTCATTATGTAAACAGAAAAATTTTGTCCTGGGCCTCTAATTAATTTCCATTTAAGAATTTTTCTTTTTTCCCCCTATATATTGTCTATCTTTTTATTGATGATTATACCTTTATTAACCCTGATTTAGCTCTGTTGAGTGAGGTTAGCAAGCTCGTTTTTCAATTTTTCCTTTTAAGTGGTAATAAAAATAAATTTTGTCTATTTATGATAATTATTAAGTTTTGTAGCACCAATAAAAAGTGCTGAACTGTTATGCAACATCTAATCTCTTCTATGACAGAAAATAGGACACTTGAAATGACAGATGTGCTTCTACCAACAAATATTGAACATACAAGAAAGGAGCAAATTTTTAAGGGGAACAGGAACACAAAGAAACTTACATTCAGAAAGAAACCACTGAAATCTGAAGACAAAAAAAATATTGAAAGATGCCTTTCCGAAATTTAACAAAGTATTAAATGATAAGAAAGTGTCTACAGAATAAAAGAATTGTGCTGATCTGCTATGTAATAGCCAATCTCCCATATGGCAGTGAATGCTTTCTTGGAAGTTTCCTCACAGATGGAGAAGAGACTTCAATTGACAGAGATGTGGTTCTACTAATGAATATTAGAAATAATATAAATAGAACATGCAAGTAACAACAATATTTTATTAAGAATGAGCTACAACAGATGATGCTAGGAATACCATGGACTTAACATATAAGCAATGGGGAAGCTGAACTAGAGTATATGGAATTTTAACACTACCACACCCAGAAATTGAGCTCACAAATGCACTGGAACTTGATATGCTCTAGTCCACTATGACATGTGTCTCTTGGCCCAAAAACAAACAAGTAACACATTGGTGAATGAGACTGCTAAGAACAAACTGATATAAAAAAAAAAAAAAAAAACTCCCTTAAGCAGGTAAAATGGAATAAGAACAAGCTACACCATTTACATTATTTGGACTATTGTCCAAATCTTTGTCGTCATATTTATTACATTTCAGCCATTGTATGCTCTGGCCTTCTTCAGGTGGTTGGAATGTCAAACTAAACCCTTTATTTAGACTGTTCTAGTTCCATGTGCCATGTCTATTGGATATCAGTTATCAGTTATCTCCCGTTAATTCCCCTTTCCAAGTTCTCCACCACCCTAACCAGGTATTGAACTCACACATTTTGGGTCCTGTCAGTGGATCTCACTAACGCCTTTATCCACTGTGCCATGTATCCTGACATCCATTAGACATAGCACATGGAACTAGAACAGTCTACCCCAGTGAGCAAAATAAAGGGTTCAGTTCGACATTCCAACCACCTGAAGAAGACCAGAAATGTTGTAAGAAATATGGCAACAAAGATGAGGACAATAGTCCAAATAATGTAAATTGTGTACATAATACCTCATCTCAGAAACATAGACAGATACTGAAGAACAAGCTACTCTTAAATTAAGAACTAGACAATATCTCTAGACATGAACAGTAGAATGAGAACAGTCTACCCCATGAATTAAATAAAGGGCTCATTTTGGAATTCCTTGTAGGTTACCAAGATCAATATCAAAACCAGAGGGCACAACAGCCAAAATGTTGTGATAAAAATAAAGATAAAGAGAATAGTTCAAATATAAATAGTGTAAATAATTATAATTTTTCTTCTCAAAAATTCATGCTCAGAAATATCTATTTTAGTCAGTCAGTTAAGTGCCATATGTGAAACATATAGGCACATGGTCGAGTGGTTAGAACTTTCACAATGAGACCCGGGTTCAAATCCCAACATGGTCGATTTGTCAGGAAGGAGACTTCCTGATGTCCTCAAACTGGAGGGGTCGATCCCAATGTGTGGCACCTTTGGAAATTGCCTGAAAAACTATACCGTGGATTGACCCAAGCCTTGTGAGTGAAACTGGATAGATGGAACCCTTGGGTGCTGTCGATAGCTGTGCTAGCACAAAGTCACAAGTCATCTTGGCTGAGGGCTTGAGTGTGCTGGCCTTGTTCAAATAGTTGAACATGCTAGATAATACGCTCTTTCCCAGAAACTGTAACTATAGTCTGCTCAGCATAGCTGCATATAAACCACAGGTGGGCTCTGTGGGTGTTGAATAAACACAAATGTGCCTGGGCAAGCATCTGCAATAGGGATTGGCTAGCTGCCCTAGTAGACAGGTATCCTCGAATACGAGTGGCAAGCTATCCTCCTCTTCCTATATGTGATATGTGCTTATGTGATCATGTCTCTTTTGATTCAACACTGACTAGGCAGAAGATTATCTTTCCATAATAGACTGCTTACCAAACAAAACTATAGAAGCTAGTCTATCCTGCTATTCAACACATAGCTGGGGGAGTAGAGATGGATTCATACTTTTCCCAAGGGTATTTGTGTGCAAGTGAATATAGTGAACTTGACTGGAATTCGAACTCAGCTCTCAGATTTCTCATTCCAAGCCAATATACATTACATCACAAAGTTCACCCATTTAGTTGGAGCTACAGATCAAATGTTGCAAGTGTAGCATCCACAATGAACATGCTAGTCTGACTAGCAAAGCATATAATAATGATAATTTCTTATCTCAATAATTCCGATAAAAAAATTAAGCAAGATTATTTAGGCTGTTATAAAAGAAAAATTCAGTGTCAATTAAAAATTATTGCTGCTACGATAATTCTCTGTTCAATTTAATGGAATTAAAAGACAAAGAGTGCCAGTGAAGCTTTTGTTGAAAATAAAACTGATGAGAATTTTGAAGGAATTGTTGTTTAGTGCCACAAGAGCAGAAGAATGGCAGTAATTGTCTTTAGTTCTAATTGGCATTTATTGATCTGGCACTATTATTTGGTGCAATTCATTTCAATATCATGTCATGAAGTTTGATAAATTAATCAAGTACTCTCAACAGAATTGAGTTTTCTTGTAAAATTATTGGAAATATTGATTCAAGAAATAAAATGGTGGAATTTTATAAAGAGTTAATATTTGTTGATGATCAACTAAAAAAAAAGTAATAAGTCTCTCTCTCTATACATATATAAAACTTTAAATTACTGATTGTAAATAATTTGCATGAATGATTTTATTTTTTTATTTCTTATTTCCAGAATATGAGCGTGAATACAGATATTATGGTAAGTATTACTGTTAATAACACACATTACTTAGTTCCACGTTTCACCCGAGTTCTAACCTTCATGGCTAAAGTCCTCACATGCTATACATATTGGAGGGAACCAACCTATTTTCATTTGTATTCCATTGGTGAAGGTGTAAGTTCCACTTGAGCATTTTGTTCCCATGAACTGCTGCTTTTTGGAACCGATTCCCAAGAGAATGCTTTCCTGATCACTACTATCTTAACCTGTTCAAGTCTAGGGGTAACTGCTATTTTGCCTCACATATCCCCATGAACTTTGCCTTTTACTTAGTACTCCTATACCTCGAGTGGCTTTTGAGCCTTGAGCAGGGTGAACATCATTGTAAAAACAATTGTAATAATGAGTTTACTTATGCCATTAGTTTTGACAGTATATTTTGTTATGTCTTTATGATTAGATTTTCCCATACAAGGTGGGCAAGAAACTTCATAGGCTAACAATGAGGAAGCAATGCTAGAATATCACACTGATGATGACTGTTGATGACTTTTTTGATCAACAGGTTGAACAGTCTTCTCTGGGCAGTTAGATAATAGTTTACCTGGAAAGAAAGAAATGCAGTTATTAATAAGATTTGAAATAAATGCATGCAAGATTTCACATCTTTAGCATCACTCTTTCATAGTCAGCCTATGAACCTTTCAGCCCACCCATGAACATCTTTTTCCCACTAATTATATTACCATAAAGTAATAATTAGGCAATCAGTTTATTATTTAATAACAATAAAAACCGATCCCCCACTTTTAGAATTTTATGTTAATACTTGTTTACCCATGTTGTCATTTCTGTCAGCAGATTTTGTTAACCGCTTATCATTTAGAAGATTTTTACATATGTATTTTCCCCACAATTATATTAATAGTAAGTAATATTTAAGGGGGAGGTATAGTGGAGTAATGGATAGTGGCTCAGATTGAGGAATCGGAGAGCCAAGTTCAAATTCCAGTTGAATCCATTACATTCACTTATGTGCTAATACCCTTTGGAAAGGTATGAATCCTCCTCTTATCCCGCCAGCTATGGGTAAATAGTAGAACTGACAGGGTTTTATAGCCTTGGATGGCAACTGATCTACCACACACACAAATGTCAACCTACTGCGGGAAAAAAATCTGCCTCGTCAGTCATGTATCAAAAGATACATGATCGCTTAAGTGTGTATGGCACATAACTGACTGAATATTTAAGGAATCAATTTATAATTAAATAAAATAAAAAAACTAACCACCTCTTCATGTTCAAAAGAATTTTATCCTAACACTAGTCTACCCATGTTATTATTTTTGACAGTATATTTTGTTATGTCATTATAATTAGGTTTTCACATAATCTTTTTTAATATAGTGTAATAATTAGGGGAGCAGTTTATAACTTACTAACAATAGAAAACCGACCGCTCACTTTAGGTTCAACATTATCTTAAATTACATTATTAGTTTACACATCCCATAATTTTTAACAGCCTATGACATGCAGTATTGATACGTATGTCCACACTGTCTCTATCCATAAACTCTCTATCTCTGGTTGAGCAATCTTCACTCTGTAGTAAATTTTAAACTTATATGGGTGATAGTTGGATGTAATACTATATCCAAGTAAAAGTGTGATAATAGGTTGAATTAGTGATTTGGACTATGCCTTTTGCCTCTTATAGTAAGTGTCCATAGACTAGAATGAGAAATAAAGCCCTGTGCAGGAAAAGGATGTTGCAGTATGGGAAAAAGGTAACAAAGATCCTTATCAAAGTTTGGCAGAGAGATTGTTTTTTTATTTTTTTACTGAAGTCATTAATGCCTGCTGAATTTGACATTTAGCCCGCTCAAGAGTAGAACACTTTGTTTTTTTATCTCTTTTAGTTTCTATGTTGCCTTTTTTTATTTTGTTAAAGTTACTTTGAAGCAAATATGATTCTACACTTAAAAATATTACTACATTTTATTTTTATTAAATATCATTAAAACCTTAACTTTAATCTTTGGCAGTTTTATTTTCTGCTAAATACTTCTCTTAATGGTAGTTTGTATTTGTCTAAATTTACCAATTTTATTTTAATGGTTTATCAGCTATCTATGTAATCATTGGGAAGTGCATCTTTTTATTTTCACTCATTGCAAAATGGCCACTGGCAAAAAAGATCTAGCTTAAAATTAGTCTCCTCTTGTCTGCAATTTATTGAGACATTTTTCTTGCAAATTAGTCTTTCTGTAACTTTTCAAGCATGTTGCATTTGATGAGCCAATATTCATTAAGGAATTCTTTTCTATATCAACACAAAACTTTGACATTTGGATCTGTGAAGTTGTTTCATTTTTCTTTGTTATCTTTAAAATAATGAGGAGAAATCAATACGGTTCCAATGTGTATCTAAGGAAAAGGAAAGAGAAAGAATTTATTTTTTAATCAATTCACCCCAAGCAAGGTGATAATGTCACTAAGATGCAAGGAGCTACTGGGAGTGAAATAGAATGAGATGACTTTAGAAAGAACTGGAAACCCAATATTAAACAAGAAATAAAGGATCAACCTCTACTCCTGTTCAAAAGACTGGAGAGAAGTGTTAATTGGATGATAGGCAAACCTATTTATTCCTATTGAGAAGTTGTACAAACAACAATGATGATATTATTTTGAATAATCACAAAATAGCAATTCATAATAATCTCTTTATTTTATAATACTTTATAATAACATAATGATAACATTATAATTCTTATATAATAATCACAAAATAGCAATTCATAATAACCTCATTATTTTATAATACATTATAATAACATAATGATAACATTATAATTTTTATATAATAATCATATAATAATCACAAAATAGCAATTCATAATAACCTCATTATTTTATAATACTTTATAATAACATAATGATAACATTATAATTTTTATATAATAATCATATAATAATCACAAAATAGCAATTCATCTCCAAATTTCTCTTCTTGTTTTTTTTTGTTTTTAAGTTAAGTCCAAGCAATTCCAATCCATATATTCAATTCCCTTCATATATTCAATATTCTAATTTCTTGCATAAACCAAATTTCTAATTTGAAGATAATTATGGCTTTAATATAATTATTATCTAATTAATATACCATGTTTCATTGAAGCCAAATAATTTTAATTAAATTTTTTTTTGCCATTAACAGCTGAGGATGAATGGAGTCTAAAAGGTTTGTAGCTTTTTATTGTTTGATTTTCTACAGAGTGCAACTTGTACATTGAGTAACTCATTAGTGTAAAAAGTATCATTGGATAAAATTAAATTATTCTAAATATATCAGCATGTTGAATTGTTATGGTGTAATAGTTACCAAACTGCTCTAGATTTACTTGTAAAATTGCATATATATATATATATTATGAAATGAACAAAGTCCGACAATTATTTTAAGACATTTTTTTATGTTTATACATTCTTTTTATAGATAGAAATATAGATGGAAATATTTAAGTAAATGCTCTGTTTATAATATAGTATAC